TGGCATTATTTATCGACCTATAAACTGAGCTATACTCAGATTACCTATAAAAGAATTTTTAATAGCTTTAAGTGCAATAAGTAAGAAGTAGTCAGTTATAGAACACTTAAGAGATTTCTCCTTATGAGTGTTAATTGTGACAATTTACTGTACCTGAATGAATGTGAAATCACTGGCGCCTGAGTAGGAAGCAAAGCTGTGGGGAAGTTATTAACAATTTAGTACTTTTAGTTCATTTGGGAATGTGAATTCAATTTACCAAAGAATATTACAGAAGCCATATTCTTTAGGTCAAGGGAATGTGATTGTAGAAATATAGAAGTGTAAAATTTATAATCCCATAGCATATATTTAGTATACCAAGATTCAAACAGTACAGTGGAATACTTTGTGAATCCAAATATCAGATAGATTTCTTTTGGATGGGTTGCCATTTGGTGTTAAACAGGTATATAAGACCTTCACAGAGGCTGTATGGTTTTCTGGAGTAACATCTTAGGTCAGCCTTACAGATGTTATGATGGCCACTTTAACTTCTACAATGGCAAAAACTCTGTAGCATCCAGGGCAGCTTTCACATCAGGCCCCACAAAAGCTACCCCAGGTTCAACACACTCTGTGTCAGCTTTCATTTAAAACCATTGCTCATGAGCACCTACCAGTATGTTTGCTTTTACTAGTAAGCCAGAGGACACAATTAGTTGAAAGCAAAGGCATTTAATGAAATTTTGTAATAAGAAAAGGACCACCCTAACATTTTCTTCCATAAATCTAGACATGGTCTCTTACACGCCATCAGTGGGAAGAGAGTGGACATGCTTAGGGAACATATATGGCGAGGTGTGGCTAGGGAACACTTGTAGAGAAGTATACACACAAGAAACATTTATTCATTCATGAATAAAGAAATGTTTATTAAGCACTTACTGTGTGTCAGCACTGTGTTAATGCTGGAGATGCAAATAGAAGCAAGCATTTGGCATCAAGGAGCTCATTTTCTAATTGGGGAGGAAGACACATGAAGGAGAGCTAGGGTTACTTAGGGGGTTGTGCAGGTAGAGGAGGGGCAGCATGGTTTGAAATGGCCAGGAACTGGTGTGGTGGTTTGGTCTGAGGCAAGATAAAGTGAAAGCTCTCCTCTAAGAACCCAGGAGCCTTGAGCAAAGTCTGCATTCTGATGGGAGGAGGTAGAAGGCCAGAACACAGGCGGGCATGGCTTAGAAATGGCCAAACGGGTAATGCCTATCTCTGAGAGCATAAGCCAGATGCTAGTGGAGGGTTGCTGATGTCATCCAGTAGTGCTGTTGGACTGCTTCTGCTGGGCCTGTTCCTTGCTGGTGTTGTATGCTGTGGAGTCTCCACCAAATGGAACTTTGCTGGTTTTATAATCTCTGCCAAGAAATGGCTTAGTTGGACATATAGTTGTGTAGCCTCTCTTTGCTTTCAGGTTCTGACTTCAGCTGGGGTCTTTGTCTGAGCTGTTACCTCTTCTTCATTAGAGGATGAGTGGGCTACTTTCTCTTTTTCAGCTTAGAGCCTAGAAGCTTAGCTGTTAGCTTTTTTTTTTTTTTGGTGCCTCCTCCACCCTCCTGCGGCATGCTTTCCTGCTTGGCATGCAAATAGATTTGTACTAGAACAAAAACTAAGCCAATGAAGAGAGTTCATTGTCCTCCGAGCAAGTGGCCAATCGCTTTTCTGACTTTAAGCCTTCTAGGCTTTGAACCTCTGGTCTATCTATACCTCTCTGTATAGCCTCTCTGTCTATCTATGCCTCAAGAATGGTATGTATTTTTGGCTATAGATTCCGGAAATTGGACATTTAATATTTTAGGAATTCAGAATATTTGCAAATGTGAATAGATTATTGGTATGGTCATGTATTTGGGGAATTGAGCAATGAAGCAGGGACAGTAGGTGAAACTGAGGGTAAGGAACATTTATTAGGAGAACAGGAGAAAGTGGAAAAACATAATCAAGGTGTGGAGGATAAAGGGAGTAGGAAGGGTGTGTGTGTGTGTGTGTGTGTGTGTGTGTGTGTGTGTGTGTTTAAGAGCAATGACCTTAAAAGTAATTGTCCTTTGTGGTAGAGTTGTTATTGGCTCTTCTGGTGTATTGGTACACATGCAAAAAGAGCATAGCTATTGCTCTTTAACCAAAAAAAAGAACCTTAAATTAAAAAAAAATTTTTCCGCTCTGAATTCTCTCTCTCCTTCTACTCCTCCCCCACCTATTAAGAAGGCAAGAAATATAAACCCAGTTGACATAATCAGATTGAAATAGATCCTATTTACAGTTAATTGATTTTTGTCTTGTAACTGCCCAAGTCATGTTTCTTTGTCTCTGAACTTAGTTCAGAAATTCAGCTGTCCCGTAATGAGTCAAATTTAGAAATCCAGTTCTCTTTTAAATCACTGTTCTATTCTTGTGTGAAGGAAATTTGTTACCCTTGAAAGAGTCAAGTAGACACTAGGGAGTCTTGTCTAGAATCTTTACACCACCAAGCTATCCTTCAAGGATGTCTGGTTTGTTATCCAAAGCAGTCTGGTCCACTATCTCTAACTTTGCAGGTGGACTTAAACGATGAACATTTATTAGTCACAGGAGAGGAGAGGGTTGTTATTAGCCTGTTATTCCTAATTTCCAGCCTATCGTGTTGTCCCCACCCCATGATGCTGTCTACTCTGTAAACAATAGCATTTTTTCCCCATTTCCCCAACTCTGTTCTTTGTTCTCTTGTGCTTCCCAAAACTAAATGAAGGTTAGTAAGCTCTCGTCATTGAAAGAGGCCACTGACCCAGTTTACTGGTTCTGCTAGCCTAACTGATAAATTGATTATGCTTAGACCACTGTCTCTCAGTTTACCTTAATTTTCCCACATTGCACCACTGTACATATGAAGTCGTGCAAAACATTTTTACATGAGCCATGTTTTGAAGAACCCAAGAAAAATAAAGTGAAAAAAGTATGTTTCAGTCTTCACTCAGAGTTCATCAGTTCTCTCTCTGGAGGTGGATAGAATTTTTACATTGTGTATCCTTTGTTGTTGTTTGTCAGTGACATCAGTAAGACTTGCAAATGAATTGGATTTAAATGAGGGAGGGCTGTATAAAGTCACCAGCCTCATCCTCTTCTCCAGATTATCGTATTCATCAGAATAAACAAGTATTTCACAGTTTATTATTAAAATGCTACTGTTACTGTGTATAATAGTCTCTTGGTTCTTCTGACTCCTTTTGTGTCAGTTCATATAAATCTTCCCAGGTTTTTCTGAAACCACTTCCCTCCTAATTTCTCATAGCACAGTAGTATTACATCACCATCATATACTACAACTTGTTCAGCCATTTCCAAATTGATAGGCATCCCCTCAATTTCTAGTTCTTTGCTACATCAAAAAGTTGCTATAAATCTTTTTGTACATATGGGTCCTTTTCTTTTTCTTTGATCTCTTTGAGATATAGACTTGGTAGTGATATTGTAAAAGTGAGAGTATGCAGTTTTATAGACTTTTGGGCAAGTTTCAAATTATTCTCCAGAATAGTTGGACTAATTCACAGATAGTTAGTGTTCTTGACACTTTACCTCTTGGTTGGTATCAAGAAACTGCCTGAATGCACCTGCTTCTCACCTCTGAAGAGGGAAGGGAGCCTTTGCCAGTGCAAATTAGCATTTTGCTCTGGATTGCTAGATTGAGAGCTACCATACCTGAAAGAAAGTCCTAAATGCATGGTAGATAGGAGGATCTTTAATAAATTTTGAATACTTCTTATTCAGGATGAGTCAGATGTTCCCTGCTAGTTCTTAAATTTTATATTGCCCATCTTGACACTGCAGCACCAGTGTTATTCACCAAATGATGATGATGATAACTAGCATTCATATCATGCTACCATGCGCCAGGCACTGTGTTAAGTGCTTTACAAATATCTCATTTGAGTCTTAATAATAATCCTGAGAGGTGCTATTATTATCCCCATTTTACAGTTGAGGAAATGAAGGCAAATGGGTTAAGTGACTTACCTGAGGTCACACGGCTTTTAAGTGTCTGAGGCTGAATTTGAATTTGGTCTTCCTGGTGCTAGTAGGCCTGGCACTCTATCTACTGCTCTAACTGTCTATGCAGTTGATTCCACAGGCTGTATTTTTCTTTGTTGACCTTTATATTTCCATGATTGATTTATATCTTGGTAATCCAAAAGTGTTTCTATGATGCTTGTCACTGTTGAGAACTTGCATGTTGAGCCTGTGGCTGATCACTTTTCTCCATGTTCTGTCATTACTACTGACACAGGTGTTGACATCCTTCATGTTGATCTACTTGGAAGATACTGATTGACAGTAGAACTGTACAGGGTTTCTTTTGTTACTCTCATTGCTCTAGTTACAAGCGCAAAGAGTGCAGTGCTCTGACATAGAAGAGCTGTAAGACCTCCAGCAAGCCATTTCAGTTTTTATGCCTTAGTCACTTCATCTATAAAACAGGAGGAGCAGTACCCACCTTGTCTACTGTACAGGAAAGCTGTAAGGGTGAAATGAGGATGTGGATGGGAAAAGATCTTGAATGTTAAAAGCTGTAACAGTGCACAGTGATCTCATCATATCTTCATTTCCACTATGGGGCTCTGTAACTGAAGAGAGGGCCTAAGGGAGTATGGGGAAGATAATGGAGGAGTTGGAAAATGGCCAGTTCAGACATTTTTGGTTATGGGACCAATAATTCCATTTTCTTCCTACTAACTGCAGTTCCAGTGTTCATATCTTACTGGTTATAGATTATCTCTGGGATAATTGGCCAGATATCCCCCCTGAATAAGTAGAGCTTCATAACAAGCAATTTCAGTCCATCCTGGATTTTCTTTGTTATGTGGATTTGACTCCAAATCTATCTCCTACTTACTTAAAGTCTCTCAAAAGGCTAGTGAGTCCATTTTTTTTTTCTTTTTAGCCAGGGTACTGAGCTTTTGGAAAGGTTTTAATATCAAGTTCCATTATTCCTCCAGACAGAGTCAACTTATCGGCTGCATGAGCTTTGGGGTGAAGTCTCTGCTGGACCCTGACAAGGTAGGTCCCTAGGAGAGGCCTGGTGACATCATTACCTTGAGGGTGATGCAGGCCTGGGCAACTTTCTCTGGAAACTTTGCAGGGGGGAGGCAACTAAGTTCCTACCTGTCCAACAAAGAGACACAGTGGACAGAGTATTAAACTTGGAGTCAGAAGATCCGAATTCAAATGATACCCTAAATACTTACTAGCTTTGTGACCCTGGGCAAGTTATTTAGTCCTTCTCAATCTTGGTTCTTCATCTATAAACTGGGGTAATAGTAACACTTCCCTTACAGGGCTGTTGTGAGAATCAAATGAGATGACATAGGTAAAGCACTTTACAAACATTGAAGCACTATATATAAATATTATTATTATTTGCAGTGGAGTCAGTGGAATGAAGATATATCCGTTGCCAAGTCTGATTGAGCTAGAGCCAACCCCTTCTCCTTATCTAAATCCACTGGCCCAGAACTCTTCCAAAAGGAGCAGAATTTGGGAAAGAGATATTGTGTAAAAAGGAGAACTTTGGTGCATAGAAAGAACTAGGATATAAAATTACTGTCTTTCCTTGTGCTGGTTGATATGAGGTGGGTCGTGCAGATATTATTGCTCCTATTTTGCAGATGAAGAAATCAAGGCTTAATTGACTTTCCTAAGGTCATATTCCAGGTATTATTCACATTTATCCTGACTCTAGGTCCAGGATTAGAGTAAGCTCCTGTCCTTGGCTACCGTTTGCTTCTTTAGGATTTCTTGTAAGGTGGACTGACTAGAACAAGATTCAGCAAATTTTGATCTGTGAGTGAACAGACCAGTGTACTAGGGGACCTCTTCAAGATCTAAGGCAGGGGGAAAGGATAGGGAAAAGTAATAACAAAAATAACTCACATTTCTATATAGTTTGTTTTTTGGTGAGGCAATTGGGGTTAAGTGACTTGCTTAGAGTCACACAGCTAGTGAGTGTTATGTATCTGAGGGTGGATTTGAATTCAGGCCCTCTTGACTTCAGGGCCAACGCTTTATCCACTGAGCCACCTAGCTGCCCCTAGTTTTTGAGATTTATAAAGGAATATACCTGTTATCTCATTTGATCCTCACAGTAATTCTATTCCTATTTTATAGATGTAGGAAACTGAGGCTTGTCCAAAGGCACCACAGCTAGCAGGTTCCGGAGCTGGGATTAGAACCCAGACCCCTGGCTACCAGTTCAGCACTCTATATATACACTGCCTTAAGCCTTCTCTGTTCTGGAACCACCCTATTTGAATGCTATATGGCTGCTATCTGCCTATGGCTAAGTGGTGATGTGGCTTTCAGATTGTTTTTGTGAGGGTAAGAAGACACACTTTCCCTTGTGGCAGTTGCTAAATTCTCTTACTTGTTCTTGAAATGCTATCTAAATGTGGGTTGTTGTTATTATTTGATTTCCATTGCTGAGCCCCAGATCCCATGCTGCCTTCTGCTTTTCTCAACTTTCCACCTCTCATCTGCCTTAGTTAGGGGAGGCCTCACAGAAAAGGTGAAGTCTGAACTAGACTTTGAAACACGAGCAATACTTCACCAGGTGGAGATAAGAGTAGAGAAATAGGAAAGCATGGAATGTCTTTAAAGAAGGGCAAGTAGGCCCCTTTAAAGGGCTGGAGATAGGATGTGTGAAGGGGTAGCGGGATTTAAGGCTGACCAGGTACACATGGGCTAGACTGACCTTGAGGAAGCCCTTAAGTGCCAGTCTGTTGACCTTGTCCCATAGGCAATGGGAAGCCACCAGAGGCTTTTAAAGTAAAGGAATAATGTGATCTGTGTCGTGAGTCATTAATGTGGCAGTGTGTACACCACGGTTTAGGAGGGACCAGATTTCATGAGCTTTGTTATCCTGAACTGGAAGTGAAACTTAAAAGTCAACTCAACCAAAATTTATTAAACACTTACTGTGTGTATGATACCGTGCTCGGCACTGGGCATAGACAAAAGTGAAACCATTTCTGCCTTCAAGGAGCTTACATTCTACTTATCTGTAGTGTTGGAGAAGCAGAGGTGAGACTTTTTTTAAACTGGGTTCAAAATGTCTGAAGAACTCCAGAGAATGTGGAGGGGGCTGCTTCTTGTGCAGCTTATTTGGCTTCTCACTTCTCAGTGGAACCTGGGAGGGCAGGAGGACAACTTCTAGTTGTTCCAGAGGGATGTTGCTGCTCTTGAAACTGGGGATGTTTTCTTTATTTGAGGAGCCTCGTATCCATTTCTTCTCTTTCAGCCTCAGTAGCAGTAGCAGCAGCACCAGCAACCTCCTCAGTGCTTTCTCTGTGAGAGAACTGTCCAAACAGCCCAAGTCTCTCAGTGTCTTAACGGTGCATAGTACATCTTAGATACTCAGTAATGGTGGCCAGATCTGATAATGGCGTCTTTGCCATGCTGCTCCTTCCAAGTGATTTTGTTTCCTAACTCCAAACATGACCCCACTTCCTTACTGTTATTAATGCTTTTCCTGCCATAGGAGATCAGTGGCTGGTATTTTCTTCTGGGACGGGACCTGGGCCGCACAAAGCATCTTAAGGTGGCCACTCGGCGGTTGAAGCAGAGCAGAGGTATGTTTTCCACAGTTTTAGTCCCTAGTCTGGATCTTGACACAAAGTTATAAAGGAGTTTTATTTGGAGACCACTCTAATGACATTTCCTCCAGTACCTCTCCTGCCCCCACCTCCTTCCAGACATCTAGACAGTTCTGTCCCTGTGTTTGTATTAGACACTGTTAACCCTATATTTTGATTAAAGTGAATAGTATCTAGGGTCAGCCTCTCTCTTGACTGATGTGGTATTATTCCCGTGACAGGCAGATGGGCAGCTTTCCTAGGCAGTGAGGCTGTGAGGCCTTTAATTCTCTTGATTGAGTTTCCTTTTGGAGAGGAGGATGTTATTGGTTATGTGCTTTATAAGCTTAGGGGCAGGAGTGCACCATGCAGCCACACTAAGAAAATAATTCCCTAGGGAGCTTTTCTTGCAGTCCATCCCTTTGAGCAGACTGCTTAAATGATCTAGGGCTAGACAGTAACTTGAAACTAGTTGCATGTCCCTGTTGATGACTTGCTTCTCTTGGTTGCCTTTTAGATCTATTACTGAGAAAGCCTGAGCTAGCACTGAAACATGTGGACACAGAAAACATGCAGTTATTCAAGGTGGGTGAGTGGGAGACTTGTGTACCAACTGATAATGAGAAAAGCTGTCAGCCATCAGAACCCTTCTCAGGGCTTCATTATCTGTAGCTTGCTGGACAACCATTAATCCAAAAGTCAACTAGGAAATCTGTAATTCGCATAATTTTGGCTCTTTGTTACTAAAGTACCATGTCTAGTACTTGAAACGGAGCTCTATGGAGCTCAGTAAAGTAGGTGTTTTAGATACCTGGTGGGTTCCAGCCATCTAAGGATTAGGAGTCAATATGTGGAATCAAGTGAGACTTTGCTCAGAAACCTTTTTCTAGATTTGGGACCAGGGGTAACATTTGGGGCCTAGATAGATTCACTTCCCAGGAGGAGCGGAAACTCCAAATAGTCCTGTCCTGAGACAGCATGATATACTTAAAAGAACACTAGACTTCATTTTAGAGGATTGTTTATGGAGTTTCAAGCAACTCTCCGCGATCTCTGTCTGTGTTCCATTGACTAAATCATAGATTCTTAAAGTATTAATTAAAAGTACTTTTGGGGCCCAAGGACTTTTTTGAGAACCTTTGTCTACTGCCCAACCCCTAAGCCTTTCAACCTTACTATTGCTCTCACTAGAATCCCTAAGTTGCCAGCCACATCCTCTCTTCCCCTTGCCCAAGTTGCCTCTAACTTATCTATCCCTGCCAAGTCTGTGACGCCAGCTGCCACTTGAAGCTTGCTGGTGAGAGAGAATGCTGGAGACATGGAAGATTTCTAGTGCAAAGGGACGGATTTGTAACCGAGGATTCTGCCTCTGTGTTCTCTGCCTCTGAGCTAACTCTGTACCGGGTGCTTCCCCAAGTTGCTTTTTGGGGGAATGATCCATGCATTGGTGGAAATAGTCAAGTTCCACTCTGGAAATTCTCAAAGTTCTTAATGCAATGAATGCTATGTATCAAAAACATGGCTTGTGGTAATGCAAGAAAGACATTGATCACACATCTTGGAGAGGTAACTTGGTTTTATTACAGCCCTGGATTTAATAGGGATAGGGGTAAAGTCTTAGGGGCAGCGAGGTGGCACAGGGGATAGAGCACTGGGCTTCGAGTCTGGAAGACTCATCTTCCTAAGTTCAAATCTAGCCTCAGGTACTTACTAGCTGTGTGACCCTGGGCAAGGCTCTTAACCCCAATTGCCTAAAAAATTAAAAAAAAAGAAAGAAAGGCATAAATAACTTTGAGAAGTAAGGAGGTGATAGTCCTGCTGAATCTGTGGTAGTTAGACTGCATTTGAAATGTTCATGTTCAGTCCTCGGCATCATATCTGAGGAAGGACGTTGAAGAGCTGGAAGGAGAGCTTCCAGAGTTGTCAGGTGGAAGCAGTAAGCATTTATTAAGCTCCTACTATTGTCACATGTGGCACTAAGCGCTGGGAATCCAGATGAAAGCCAAAAGACAATTCTTCCCCTCAAGGAGTTTACATTCTAATGGAGGAACACAACATATATAGAGAAGCTGAAAAAGGGAGTTGGGAGTGTCAGCGGGTGATGAGCCCTGGCAGGACAGAAAGCAGCTGTGGAGGCAGCTCAAACTCTCTCTTGCTAGCTGTGTCTTATTTTAGGGGAAGGCAAATAGAACAGTGAAGGACCTTTGAGTACCTGCTGTCTGAATTATCCCACAAGCATTTATTAAGTATTTCTGTGGGTCAGAAATTGGGGTTACAAAGTCAAAAATGAAGAGTTTCTGCTTTTGAGGAAAGCAGCAGGAAGAATAACAGTAAAGACAAATAAGATACGAAGTAAATAGGTGGCAGCAGCGAGGTGGTGCAGTGGAGAGAGCACTGGCCCTGGAGTCAGGAGGATCTGAGTTCAAATCTGGCCTCAGACACTTGACACTTAACTGGCTGTGTGACCTTGGGCAAGTCACTTAATCCCATAGCCTAGCCAACAACAACAAAAAAGATATGAAGTAAATATAAGGTAATTTCAGGTGAGAGACCCTTGACCCTAGAAAAGGGATAGTGGATCAGAAAAGGCACTCCTTAAGAAGTGGCCAATTAGGAGGCTCTTGCATAGTCCAGGCTAGAGGGAAGGAGGGTCTGAATTAGGGTAATAGCTGAGTGAATAAACAGAAGGAGACAGAGCTGAGAAATGGTGTGGAAGGGAGAATCAGCAAGACTTGGCAACTGATTAGATATGATAGACAAAGGAGAACGAAGAGTTGAAGCTAACTCTTAGTTTGGGAGTGCTGAAATCCAGTTCACATGTAAGTTAAGACATCGCCCCATGATGTCACCAGTCCCCTTTGAAAACAAAGTACAACAGTAACAGAAATACGGAAGTTAACCCCAGTTAGCTGAAGATTGGCTGAGGGAACTGGGAATGTTTAGCCTGGAGGCTGGACATGGTAGCCATCATCAAACACTTGAAAGGCTTTGTTGGAGAAGAGAGATTAGTCTTGTTCTCGATTAGCCCGGAGCATAAAATTAGGACTAATGGGTAGAAATTTCAGAGGCATATCAGTTAGAATTATCCAAAAAAACAAAACAAGTTGCCACAGACATAGTGGGTTCTACCTGTCTTGGAGGCCTTTGGGCGAAGGTTGGATGAACACTGTGCTCGTGCGTGTGTGTGTGCGTGCGCGCGTGCGCAGCTGGTATGTGGGTGTGTTGTAGGAGGGATTTGTTTTTTATAGGCATAGATCTGACTAAGTGGCTTCTTGTAAGTGTGTGATTTGGTGATTCTGAAAGTTAGAGAAGCTGATTTTGAATCCCGGCTCTGCTATTCACTGATCATCTGTGGGCCTCGATTTCCTCCTTTGTAATGTGGGAGGTTTGGACTGGATGATTTCTCAGTGCCCTTCCAGCTCCAAAGGCCATGAAGCTGTGATTTCATTCTTCCACAGGACAACATGATTGGTGGTGACTCAGCAAGTAGCAGCTTCCTGAGTTTAAGTTGCTTATTATTTCTTGCCTTGACTGTAAGCCCTTCCCTATGAGCTAAGTGCTTTTCTCCCGTTTTTCAGCCTTTCTTCCTCCCAGTCAGTGCCTTAGTTCAACACTAAGGGAATGGGGAAAGACACAGCCCTAGCTTGTGAGGGAGGACCTTGTCTTGCTGATCTATGTGACCCTGGGAACCTTCCCTTCCCCCCCCATGGGCTCCCCCCCCCCCCCCCCCCCCCCCCCCGCACACTCTGCTTCATACAGTGGCTGAATGTAACCCATCATTCCACTGGTCAGTTTGGTGTAATATCTTAGGATGTTGGCAGCTGCTGATTTTTTGCTCCTAGCTCTGAGACTGGATAGTTAGGTGTATAGAAGCCCACCTAGGGGACATGGGGATTTGGGGAGAATTTCAGAAATTCTGTCTTTTTCTTGAATGGTATGTTATTAGAAGCATAGTAGCTAGTAGGTCATTAGTGAGGCTTTGCTTGTGCTCAGCACTGTGCTTGACATTACTAGAAGCACAAAGGAAGTATAGGCCTACCAGGAACTTTTATAGTCTAGTCAGGAAATTAAGCCAAAAGTAATTGTGGGAATAAGAGCACATATAGGGTGTCCCAAAAGTCTTGGTGGAGTTATAAGCTCTTAAAGTTTAAAAGTACACTGAGACTTTTGGGATAGCCTGTATAATAAAGTAGTAAGTATATAATAAAAATGAGTGCATTTGGAGTCATAAAAGGGAAAGCAACACCTTTCACTTCAGATATAAATATTTCCTCTCTACTGAATAATGAGACAAGCCTCTCACCCACTGCCCGTTTGGATGAATAGGGTGAGCTAGCACATGTGCTGCTCCTCTTTGGTCCTGTTACCAGAGTGAATGGACTGGTGTGGAAAGCATGAGAGCCACAACTTACACTCGTCAATATTAGAGTAAGGAGAGAGATTTTAAAGATGATCCGGTTTAATCGTTCATCCTGTGTATGCCATCCTGGTGTACTCATTTTAGAGATGAGGCTGCTGAGGCCAGAGAAATTAAATGACTTGGACAAGGTCATACAACTTTTTCTCTTATTGTAAAGATTTCTATTCTGTAGTGTTGGCATTGGCATTACAAACCATGGGTTCTTGATATCTCTTCTTTAGCTCACAGAGACCTTAGGCCTCTTCAGCCAAGTTCTAAAGGCTGACTGGTTGGATAGAAGTAGAGACATCAGGCCCTGAACTTGACATCGTATGAGCCCTTCCGTGGTATATGCAGGGTCAGGCTTTGTGTTGCCCCAGGGCAGATCTGCCTGGCCACAATCCAGTGCCCCAGCTGGATGTGACCCACATCGGGCTGGCAGCCATATCTTTTGAGTCTGTTCTCAGGCTAAAGGAGATGCCCCACAGGGTAGTTGCAATGCAAAAATTTAGCCTGGGCGCCAGTCCTGAAAACTGTATTTCCTCCCTGCAAAGAATTCTGAATGAATAGGGATACTGATTTGTAACTTTGGAGAGCTGTTTAAGTAGAATAAGGAGCTGTCTGTTCTATAGCTATGTAAGGCTAAGGAAAGGGTTGGCTCTTCTGATTTGAATATCTCTTCTATTAAGAGGTGCTGCTGTCTGCCCTCAGGTGGGAGCAGCCTGGAATTTGGAGTTGTGTCCTCTGACATAGGTCACCTCTCCTTGATTTGAATGATCAATGTAGATAGGGAACAGCCACACAACACTGGGCCCCAGTAGGAAGTCAGACTCAACGAGGCTGGTGATTTATCAGCATTCAATTCCGTTTGGCTGCTTTCCTTTGGCTACAATTTTACTCATTTATTTGAAACTGTAGGATTTTGCTGGACAAACAAACCCAAGGTCTATTCTCCCCTCCCTTCCTTTCGCACAGTCAAAACTGGCTCTGAAAGCTCCCAGGGTAGCCAGTTTGGGCTTGTGTGGAGTGTTACCCAGAGAGCAGCATGAAAGCAGGAGCGACTCTTTATACTCCTTCTAACGGGACATCTGCAAGGGCCCTCTTTCCCTGGACACTCGGGCAGAAATTTGGGCATAAGAGAGAAAGGAGTTATTGGGATCTTATTTGTGCTAAAGCTTCCAATATT